AACTGATTTTGTGTCCTCACTTTCTGCTCTCCAAATGAATGCTACGAGAAAGTCGACGGTCTACGTTTGTTAATGAAGACTTGCTCTTTAACACAGATAGATAAGCAGCAGTGATTAGGTCTTCATTCGGCAGAAATCTGCTGTTGAAAATGACCATGTTTTCAGATAAAATGCTGAGTATCTCTCGATAGAGGGGGGCTAGAAAGAAGTCGACGGTCTAGGTCGAATCCCCTTTTCCTGAGCTTTCGAATGGTATATAGGTTGCTGGGCGAAAAAACGGACCAGTTTTCAAAAATGGGGTGGAGATATTTACTATTAGCTTGCTCCAATCCGGCTCCACCAATGTATTGGCTTTTATCGGTTACCGGAGAAAATGATTTTTAGAGCCGGGAAGCAAAGAAGCCCTAACATGCTGTATACCATTCGAAAGCTGAGATCATGGAGAATCGACGTAGACCGTCGACTTTTTTCTAGGTCTTCTGTGCCGCGAGATATGAGGGATTTTATGTGCTTCAAAAATTAACTGATTTTGTGTCCTCACTTTCTGCTCTCCAAATGAATGCTACGAGAAAGTCGACGGTCTACGTTTGTTAATGAAGACTTGCTCTTTAACACAGATAGATAAGCAGCAGTGATTAGGTCTTCATTCGGCAGAAATCTGCTGTTGAAAATGACCATGTTTTCAGATAAAATGCTGACTATCTCTCGATAGAGGGGGGCTAGAAAGAAGTCGACGGTCTAGGTCGAATCCCCTTTTCCTGAGCTTTCGAATGGTATATAGGTTGCTAGGCGAAAAAACGGACCAGTTTTCAAAAATGGGGTGGAGATATTTACTATTAGCTTGCTCCAATCCGGCTCCACCAATGTATTGGCTTTTATGGGTTACCGGAGAAAATGATTTTTAGAGCCGGGAAGCAAAGAAGCCCTAACATGCTGTATACCATTCGAAAGCTGAGATCATGGAGAATCGACGTAGACCGTCGACTTTTTTCTAGGTCTTCTGTGCCGCGAGATATGAGGGATTTTATGTGCTTCAAAAATTAACTGATTTTGTGTCCTCACTTTCTGCTCTCCAAATGAATGCTACGAGAAAGTCGACGGTCTACGTTTGTTAATGAAGACTTGCTCTTTAACACAGATAGATAAGCAGCAGTGATTAGGTCTTCATTCGGCAGAAATCTGCTGTTGAAAATGACCATGTTTTCAGATAAAATGCTGAGTATCTCTCGATAGAGGGGGGCTAGAAAGAAGTCGACGGTCTAGGTCGAATCCCCTTTTCCTGAGCTTTCGAATGGTATATAGGTTGCTGGGCGAAAAAACGGACCAGTTTTCAAAAATGGGGTGGAGATATTTACTATTAGCTTGCTCCAATCCGGCTCCACCAATGTGTTGGCTTTTATGGGTTACCGGAGAAAATGATTTTTAGAGCCGGGAAGCAAAGAAGCCCTAACATGCTGTATACCATTCGAAAGCTGAGATCATGGAGAATCGACGTAGACCGTCGACTTTTTTCTAGGTCTTCTGTGCCGCGAGATATGAGGGATTTTATGTGCTTCAAAAATTAACTGATTTTGTGTCCTCACTTTCTGCTCTCCAAATGAATGCTACGAGAAAGTCGACGGTCTACGTTTGTTAATGAAGACTTGCTCTTTAACACAGATAGATAAGCAGCAGTGATTAGGTCTTCATTCGGCAGAAATCTGCTGTTGAAAATGACCATGTTTTCAGATAAAATGCTGAGTATCTCTCGATAGAGGGGGGCTAGAAAGAAGTCGACGGTCTAGGTCGAATCCCCTTTTCCTGAGCTTTCGAATGGTATATAGGTTGCTGGGCGAAAAAACGGACCAGTTTTCAAAAATGGGGTGGAGATATTTACTATTAGCTTGCTCCAATCCGGCTCCACCAATGTGTTGGCTTTTATGGGTTACCGGAGAAAATGATTTTTAGAGCCGGGAAGCAAAGAAGCCCTAACATGCTGTATACCATTCGAAAGCTGAGATCATGGAGAATCGACGTAGACCGTCGACTTTTTTCTAGGTCTTCTGTGCCGCGAGATATGAGGGATTTTATGTGCTTCAAAAATTAACTGATTTTGTGTCCTCACTTTCTGCTCTCCAAATGAATGCTACGAGAAAGTCGACGGTCTACGTTTGTTAATGAAGACTTGCTCTTTAACACAGATAGATAAGCAGCAGTGATTAGGTCTTCATTCGGCAGAAATCTGCTGTTGAAAATGACCATGTTTTCAGATAAAATGCTGAGTATCTCTCGATAGAGGGGGGCTAGAAAGAAGTCGACGGTCTAGGTCGAATCCCCTTTTCCTGAGCTTTCGAATGGTATATAGGTTGCTGGGCGAAAAAACGGACCAGTTTTCAAAAATGGGGTGGAGATATTTACTATTAGCTTGCTCCAATCCGGCTCCACCAATGTGTTGGCTTTTATGGGTTACCGGAGAAAATGATTTTTAGAGCCGGGAAGCAAAGAAGCCCTAACATGCTGTATACCATTCGAAAGCTGAGATCATGGAGAATCGACGTAGACCGTCGACTTTTTTCTAGGTCTTCTGTGCCGCGAGATATGAGGGATTTTATGTGCTTCAAAAATTAACTGATTTTGTGTCCTCACTTTCTGCTCTCCAAATGAATGCTACGAGAAAGTCGACGGTCTACGTTTGTTAATGAAGACTTGCTCTTTAACACAGATAGATAAGCAGCAGTGATTAGGTCTTCATTCGGCAGAAATCTGCTGTTGAAAATGACCATGTTTTCAGATAAAATGCTGAGTATCTCTCGATAGAGGGGGGCTAGAAAGAAGTCGACGGTCTAGGTCGAATCCCCTTTTCCTGAGCTTTCGAATGGTATATAGGTTGCTGGGCGAAAAAACGGACCAGTTTTCAAAAATGGGGTGGAGATATTTACTATTAGCTTGCTCCAATCCGGCTCCACCAATGTGTTGGCTTTTATGGGTTACCGGAGAAAATGATTTTTAGAGCCGGGAAGCAAAGAAGCCCTAACATGCTGTATACCATTCGAAAGCTGAGATCATGGAGAATCGACGTAGACCGTCGACTTTTTTCTAGGTCTTCTGTGCCGCGAGATATGAGGGATTTTATGTGCTTCAAAAATTAACTGATTTTGTGTCCTCACTTTCTGCTCTCCAAATGAATGCTACGAGAAAGTCGACGGTCTACGTTTGTTAATGAAGACTTGCTCTTTAACACAGATAGATAAGCAGCAGTGATTAGGTCTTCATTCGGCAGAAATCTGCTGTTGAAAATGACCATGTTTTCAGATAAAATGCTGAGTATCTCTCGATAGAGGGGGGCTAGAAAGAAGTCGACGGTCTAGGTCGAATCCCCTTTTCCTGAGCTTTCGAATGGTATATAGGTTGCTGGGCGAAAAAACGGACCAGTTTTCAAAAATGGGGTGGAGATATTTACTATTAGCTTGCTCCAATCCGGCTCCACCAATGTGTTGGCTTTTATGGGTTACCGGAGAAAATGATTTTTAGAGCCGGGAAGCAAAGAAGCCCTAACATGCTGTATACCATTCGAAAGCTGAGATCATGGAGAATCGACGTAGACCGTCGACTTTTTTCTAGGTCTTCTGTGCCGCGAGATATGAGGGATTTTATGTGCTTCAAAAATTAACTGATTTTGTGTCCTCACTTTCTGCTCTCCAAATGAATGCTACGAGAAAGTCGACGGTCTACGTTTGTTAATGAAGACTTGCTCTTTAACACAGATAGATAAGCAGCAGTGATTAGGTCTTCATTCGGCAGAAATCTGCTGTTGAAAATGACCATGTTTTCAGATAAAATGCTGAGTATCTCTCGATAGAGGGGGGCTAGAAAGAAGTCGACGGTCTAGGTCGAATCCCCTTTTCCTGAGCTTTCGAATGGTATATAGGTTGCTGGGCGAAAAAACGGACCAGTTTTCAAAAATGGGGTGGAGATATTTACTATTAGCTTGCTCCAATCCGGCTCCACCAATGTATTGGCTTTTATCGGTTACCGGAGAAAATGATTTTTAGAGCCGGGAAGCAAAGAAGCCCTAACATGCTGTATACCATTCGAAAGCTGAGATCATGGAGAATCGACGTAGACCGTCGACTTTTTTCTAGGTCTTCTGTGCCGCGAGATATGAGGGATTTTATGTGCTTCAAAAATTAACTGATTTTGTGTCCTCACTTTCTGCTCTCCAAAATGCTACGAGGATAAATAAATAATATAAATAAACATAAATACCGTTTCTTTAGTAAATTTATGAGTGTACTTGTTGTTTGAGGTACTTAGCCTGCTTTTCATAACGATTTTTATCATATTCTCAGAGTACGATACCAATCTCAGCCCAGGTGAAGGGGGTCATCGGGAGTTTGGCCTCAAAGTGAAGGGGGTAAGATCCATCACTCCCCCTATCGCAACTATGCGCGGGAATCATCAGGGATCATACAAAAGCTGGAAAATGCGGTTCGTACAGCTTCTCGCTCCTGGTCAACATGTTCATAATGAAGGATGGCAGGAACACTTACGGACAGGTAGACAGCGTGAAATCCAGATATTGGGAGCTTCAGAATTTGAAGCTTTCTTTTAAGCTGCAGTCCCCTCCCTAGCGGGGAGGTTAGTGCATGCGGCCCTAAGTCAAACTCTGGATGACCATCTAGTGCGCAGGAATATAAAGTCTTTTAACATTGATCTAAAAGTCAACACATCCACAAAACCCACTCATCTTTATCTGTAACGAGCTTTTTTAATCAAAATAAAAAACCAAACTTACCTCGATTACGCATACAATTTCTTCATATCACTGATAATGACCATAAAAAACCTCGATTGTAGCACAATGCAGAAAAAAAATTTTTGCCTTTTAAACTCCATTTTGTCAAGTTAATTAAACAGTAGTAATAATTTTAGTAGCAAGAAGCCTTCAGCTCAGAGCAGAAATTGCACTTTTGAATGATCTGTTCGCAAATGAACCGCTACACCAAAAGGAAAACAGGAACCTTATTCTCGTTTCCAAGCAACATGTTGCGCTCATGATAATAGAGTATGTCATCCATCATGCACCCCACCTTCTCGGTCAAAATATCCATACCCTAAAATATATTTCTGTACTCTCAACTAGTCGGCATATCAGCACACAACCTTTTTCTTCTTATCTTCTTCGGGGCAATTTTCCAGCTCATTAAAGAAAGCTGCAACCGTTGCTAAGACGAGGAAGGTGCACATTGGCAAAACTCGGCGGTACGACTCTTTCAACTGAAATGTTAATATGCTGACGACCAGCTATTTTTTGTGTCCATCCCTGTGAGAGAGACGTTTCCGTGCGCTTTGTAGTGCATCTTGCATGCACATATACATGTATGACTATACAAGTGGGCGCAGCAGCTCCACCCTTTGTTACAGCTCCGCCCATTTAGCAAAAACTGCTGGATTTTGCTTGAATCCTAATTCGACAATTTTGGAAGTGGGCGGAGCTTGCCACTGAGGAAATTGAGCTTGTCTGATGGGTGGCTGGGCCAAGGTACCTTAAATGAAGTTGTTTGAGGTAGTGCGGACATTTGCGACTTTTTTATAGGCTTTGGCCACGAGAAAAGTCTCTTGTAGATAACAACGGAGTGGGCGGGTTTTGCGAAAAAGAGCAAGGGGGGGGGCAAATAGAAAACTGCAAAGCTAATTATATGAACACAAATTCGAACGATTGGCCACATAACTGAAATATATTGTACCGCACACCATTGCGCTACGTCCATGCGGATAGACTGCAATATTTGCGCGGCATGTCAAGCCGAATTGAGGTGTGATAGAATAAACAATCTCTTCGTACCTGATCGAGAGTGAAAGGCATTTTTCCATTGCCAACTTCTTCTAACAAATACTCGTAAAACTGCTCCAAAAGTTCCTCCCAATGAAGCTGTTTATACCTTCCGCTCAGGCAAGTACCGAATAACCGTGCGATGTCGGTCGCCGGACATCCCATATGTGCAGTCTCAAATTTTGATTTTTTGCGTGTTGCCAAAAAGTACATTCGAGCAAAAATATGAAAGAGTGAAGAAATCTGAAGTCTGCATTGCAAAACTTTATTTACTTTTACTTAAACTAAAGCGAAAATTGAACTTTACGGTTTGAGCTTGGCCTACCCAATGAGGGAGTCTTTAATCAACTCGAAATGTTTCCTTTTTGCTTTTTTGTTAAACTAGATACCTCAACATGCCCTTTTCGCTTTTTTATTGTTATTTTGATTGAATAAGGGTTTCCCTACTGATTTTTACGTCGAGAGGGACTTTGTAAATTTTCGCGAAGTCATGAGGACTTCGTTTCCAAAAAAGCGCTAAACCAACGCGTGCCGGGCCCTGCGCCGGACTTTACTTGCGTTCTGTCCCTCAAACAGATCTAAAAACTTTAGGGAGGTTAATATAATTGATTGATTACGATCTAAACAGATATGCTGACCTGAAAATCGATAAGAGCAACCATGTCAAAGCTGTTGTTGTTCTGTTTCCAAAGCATGTTCGAAGACCACAAGTCTCCATGACAAAGAACACGTTGCATTCCTGAAAATCATTAAAAAATTGAGATCTTCGCGACGAAGTTAGAAAGGTACTCCTGTTGGCGAAATTTTTTAAGCGAGCAAAGTTTTCTAGCGTGAAGCTATGCAACCCAGTATTAGATATCCGTAGGAAGCTCATATATGGTAAGTTAGGAAGCTCAAATATGGCAAGTATGTAATGTGTGGTTGCTAATATGTGCATACTAGACTCTGGCCAGACTTAGAATAGAAAATCTGCCATTCATATGAAGCATTCTCGTAGATTCGTGATCGAGATCAAACTTTGGAACAAACTTTAGAGACTCGAAATATTTGCTCTAATTTCACAAGTATAAGACGCAGCTGTTTTTTTAATAAACTCGACCAGCTTGAAGAAACCAAAATTTATATTTATTTATATTTATATTTACATAATTACGTTACACAATAGTAATGTGCCATACTAAAAAAGAAACTAATAATTGGAGAGGAGAGTGAGGGAGAGTGAGGTATGAAAAGTGTATAGCATTGAGAAAATTCTAAGCTTTAGTTTCATACCATTAAGCTTTTGTGTATACTCTAATGGTAGTGCACATATGTATGCATCTTATACATTATAGAGAGCTCCAATTACATGTACATTGATCTGCATAAGTGGCATTTTTGCTTTCAACAGTAGAGTAGGATGAAGTACTCGAAGTAATCGACCATTTCCGAGTGAAAATTGGTGAATTAATTATTGGCAATTGAAAATTGTCGCAACTAATGGACCTTCTACCCTGCTGCTTCTTACCTAAAGGATTTGTGTGGTAGAGCGACATTCGGCGAGGTACAGCCGTGTGTTCGAAGTGTTTGCGTGAAAAAGTGAAAAAAATGCGTCTTGTATTCCTAAAATTAGGGTCAGTTGGCCTTATCCCAGATGCCGCTTAGGCTATCCTTACTTCTGTGGAAAAGCGTGATTTACCACACATACTTTTGCTATCTTCGTCTATAAACATGTTTCGAGTGCATAAACTCAAAAAAAATGGTTTCGGATGCTCTCATTGCCTAATCCAATGTCTGTTAGTTTCAAACAGTCATTATTCCGAAAATTTTAAAGAAAGTTCTCCAAGCATAGTAAAAGTTGTTAGGACGATTGTTCTGTTTTGCTTTATTTCTCACTAGCTGGCTTACCCGGCTCCGCCGTATCCGGACCAAACTTGGCACACATACACTTCGGGCCCCGGCGGGTGTCACAGTCCACTTTTCGTTACCGATCGATGTCGATTTTACCGATTTTTATCGATTTTTTTGCAGAATTCACCTACAGGGCTAGGAGTTGGCACAGGGGGGAAGTGAGCATGGGGATTCCGAATACAATATTAGTTTCCAGAATTATCGATTACTTCTATTGATTTTATCGATTTTTTGTAAATTTTGACATGCGAGGCTGGGATTTTGCACAGGGACTAATCGAGCATGCTGATTACGAACACAATATTAGTTTTCAGGATCGTCCATTACTTTTATCGATTTTATCGATTTTTTGTAAAGTTTGACCTGCGGGGCTGGGAGTTTGCACAGGGGGGTAATCGAGCATGCAGATTACGAATACAATATTAGTTTTCAAGATCATCCATTACTTTTATCGATTTTTTCGATTTTTTGAAAATTCGAGCTAGGGGGTGGAATTTGGCGCAGGGGTGTAATAGCATGCTGATCACCCCCCTTGGGGGTGATCAGCATGCTCAATTACCCCCCTGTGCCAACTCCCAGCCCCCTAGCTCAAACTTTGCAAAAAATCGATAAAATCGATAAAAGTAATCGATAATCCCGAAAACCAATATTGTATTCGGAATCCCCATGCTCGATTACCCCCCTATGCGAACTCCCAGCCCCGTAGCTCAAACTTTGCAAAAAAATCGATAAAATCGATAAAAGTAATCGATAATCCTGAAAACCAATATTGTATTCGGAATCCCCATGCTCGATTACCCCCCTGTGCCAACTCCCAGCCCCGTAGCTCAAACTTTGCAAAAAAATCGATAAAATCGATAAAAGTAATCGATAATCCTGAAAACCAATATTGTATTCGGAATCCCCATGCTCGATTACCCCCCTGTGCCAACTCCCAGCCCCGTAGGTGAACTCAGCAAAAAAATCGATAAAAATCGATAAAATCGATATCGATCGATGACGAAAAGTAGCCTATGACACCCGCCGGGGCCCGTAGTGTATGTGTGCCAAGTTTGGTCCGGATCGGTTCAGAAATGGAATTTTCTATTCGGAACATACGTACACACAGACAGACAGACAGACAGACAGACATACAGACAGACAGACAAACAGACATTCAGCTTTATATATAAGATAAAAAATAAAGCAGTGCTGATTTGTATGTGTACGTACTAGTAGACAAACAACCGATGCTTTCGTAGGTGATTCCCTACTCAATTACTCAAATCGAAACTGCGTTGTCCGCTGAGTTGGCTGCAGTATCAGCTTGATGCTAAGTTCGGTCCGACTTGCGATGCTCCAGGTCAAATTTACAACTTCATACAACTTTTCTCGACGATCTCAATTCCTCCAGAGTGCAATCTTGGCTATGAAAACGATATTAAGCCCAAATGCACGCATATCCTGCTAGGAAGGGAGGGATCTGGGAAGGTATGTGTCATATGTTGCTGCTCTAGATATCTTTATTCGTCTTTACCCATCTTTTCTGTGAAGAACCTCAAACCACAATTCACTCTTTTGTTTGATCCTATGGCAGATCACCGGAGGGTCACCTTTCATGTTTAAAGTGGTCATCTTTCGAGAAATTCAATGAAAACGTTATAAAGTCGTACTGAGAACCTGCTATGGCACTGCTAGGCAAATTTATAGTAGCAGTGCGTAAAAATTCAGGTTATCAAAAATCCTCGAACTTCGAGTTTATGAACCACTGTTCGCGAGCTAGAGTATATCGAAAAGTCACAATCTTCAAATTCCATATGTTTTGCCGAAACATGCTTAACAGTGCAAAGGCTGAATCCTCAATATAGTTGCAAACTTTCATCAAATTTCTGAAAAGGAAGACGAATTCAAAAAGTCTGATAGATCCACAATTGAGCGAGAGAAAGAAGCGGAAAAGGAACAGCGAGAAACGACGCAACGCTTTTTTCCCAGATTTCCTCTCCTTTCCTGCGGGGATGCACGTGCATACGAGCCTAAGACTTTTGAGAAACGCTACTGAAAAAGAAGCAAGAATTCAAAAATATTGTGGATTTCTGTTCCACCCGGTCTATCGACATGTTGATGTTTCCTTGTAGGATAGGCAGGTACGTTTTCGAGCCACCGTAAATAGCAAAATTGAACATTATTTTGTAATCAGAAGGGTTCCGCAAGATTTTTGAGGCTAAGGATTTCTTTGACAAGATGAAAGTAACGCCGCTTTCTGGCCCCTCAGTAACGCATTCATGCTAGTTTTCAAATCATGCGATCCACTTGCCGCGAGTGGAGAGAAGTGCTTAGTGGATGGACCCTGCTAGCTCTTGCTTTGCCCTACAACTTACTCGGTTTATCGAGTGTCTCTATTCACAGAAAATCATTGCTTGTAAAACATTTGATTAAATACTTAGTTTTCGACAACAAATGCTATTCTAAACAGAGCGATTTCGATTAAAAGTGAATTTGTATGCTGCCCAATATTCAAGGCTGTGGGACTTCGAAAGCGTATTATGGATTTTTTCTTACAAGAACATATTTCTTAGGTGAGGCCATATTTTGGCCACCTTGGGTTTGGGTCTGCTTTTTCTTTAGACTAGCCTTCTGGTACAAAAATCACTACATCAAAGGGAATTTATTTTTTTGATCAGCTTCTTTGAAAAATACGAAACAAAGAAGACCGAACTTGAGCAACAACTCAGTACAAATTATGCTTACTGTTGCGTGCGTGCAAGGCCGTTTTTGAACCCAGTACAGCAATGTTCGGCTTTATAGAAGGAACTTTTTTATTGTTCGATATATTGCGTAACAAAACTACACAAAACTCCTATCAAATTTTGATTCATTACAGGTACAACACATAGTAGCACAGAACCCCAAGAAATGGAATTAACTAAGATATCACATTGATTGAATCACATTTCAAAAACTATAATATAACTAAAAATAAAAAAATAGAAACCATGGTTTTGGTGGCTAGGATTCAGGGCTCGGCATAGGTGGCTTACGGGGCAAGCTAATTATCGTTTCGATTTGAAAAGCAAGTGGATATCGTTTACGGAACCCCCCCCCTAAAATCACTTTCTCCCTCTTACGTTGCCCTTCATCTTTTGAACGCGGCGCAAAATGTCACTGCTGCCTTGCCAATCCCATTCCTGCAAAAACCAAGAAATTCTGTTTCAATAGGTTCGCCGGCTAAGCTCACGAATTCAAAAATCTGGCCCGAAATAAACCAAAGTCTTGTTTGCAGCGAAGAGAAAATGAAATGACACCACTCGGTGTGGATGGGGAGGAAAGAGTTAGGAGTATGTATGAAGAACTATGAACTATGAAAGTTGTGAACTGAAGACGTGACAAACTTTATTTCGGCGTTAGGTGGCTCTCCAGCCACCTGGACAGCCACCTGAGGTGGCTGTGACAAGAAAAAGTCATAAATTTCCCTTTCCTTACAATATTCTTCACAAGTAAGTTAACATCTTTGTTCTACATCAAAAACCCTACAAATGAGTCTTTGAACCTCCTCAATTCCCCCCTCTTCTTTTAGTTACAGCCCTCCGAATATTGTATGTCAGCGGCAAGCGTGCTCCAAGCGCGCAATGGTGCGCGCCGGCACAGAATGCCGTCAGTTTGGAGAGTTCAAACATCTTTAGTTCTTTTTCGTCTGTTCGATTTTGTTTTTATGTTTTGTTCCATTATTTTTTGTTACTTGTGTTTGATCCGTTCATGATTGCGTTAGGTGATGTCGTATTTTTGTGGCGCAGACTATGGGCAGGTCGTTTTTGAAAATGAAAAAAGCCACCTCATGCCCAGCTGAATGGGCTGGCAACATTAATATAGTGG